AAAAAAAAAAAGGAGGAGTGGGAGGGAGAGAGAGAAGATGGGGAGAAAGCAGGAAAAAGGAAGAGAGCGGGAGAGAGACACACTATACACACAGCTAGTTAGATCTCCATTTATGAAATGAAGAGATTGAGATACACAGATATTTTACTGGCAGGAAGATATTATAGACAGCCAGACAGATATCCATCCATCCATCCATGAAAGATCACAGACAGGCTTTGCCCTTTACCGTGCTATGGATCTGGAGGACGCACTTACCAGCTTTGGTTGTAATCTGGGCTCCCCCGGCCGTCATGAACTCCAGATTCCCCAGCTGTAGAGTCCCAGACAACAGCTTCCACACCTCCCTGATATCTTCATCGGTGAAATCCATCACTTGCATGGCGGTCTGACCAGAAAAAAAAAAAGTGATATTAGAGGAAATGGATAGCGAGGGGTCATCACACAGGGGTATTAAACCCTTCATGAGACACTATGGCACTCAGGCCACCATGATCTTTGTTTTCCACTTTCTGGGAGAGTCACCCATCAAACACCTGCTTGGTCCAAAATCCACTTCCGCTTAAAGGTGCAGAACAGTGAATTGCTGTATTTCAACCATAAGGCAGCAAAAATATTCCAAGGCTGTAATTCTCTAGAACAGGAGTTAAGAAAAAGGAAGATATTCTCAGAAAAATAAACTCACCACAACTTTCTCGTACATTTCTTTATCGTTAAGGCCTTCTACCGTCACACACCCAGAGTTGCAGAGATACTGATAAGAGTGAGTATCCGAGAGGCAGAGAGCTTCTGAAAAACCAACCCAAAATCGATGGCTATCAGGTGTTGTTGTCATAAATGATAAAAAGGAACTTGTGGTTGCAACCAGAGGTCACCTGAAGTCTGAGCTTCTGGCCTGTGAACTGTCTGCCCTCACATTCTGTTTCCCATCTGGTGGGTGTGGAGGGTGAGAGGTCAGGCTGCAACTTTTGGGGTATATGGGAGAAAGAGCACTGCACCAATAGTTGAAATCCAAAATCAGTTGGCAGGGATGTGGGGGGGCTGGTGCATTAGAAGCCTACACCTAACCCCCATCAAGAAAACAAGTACTGGACTCAAAAGGATTAAAATGGTTGAGGTTCAGAAAATAATGGATTGCACAGTAGATTTCATACCGTCAGGATGCATGTGTCAGACTTCAAGTGACCTCTAACCTCATGACACTCCAATCAACGTTCTAGTCTAAGACAAAGGAAATAAAGCTAGATAAGATGGTAATGCAAATTTCATAAGCAAAGCTTAGAAAAGCATTAGCTGGTGTGTTTAGCTTTCATTTGTTTATCTCCTAATGCCCATTTAAAATACACCCATCTAAAGCTGGCCATACAGTGCACAGATTTCTGCAGGAATTAGCCAAAATGTCCTGTCGGCATTACCCGGCTCAACCAAAGGTTGCTTATGGCATATTTAGCAGCCGCAGATCCCACCGGCTATGCCACATACAATAGCCTTCATTCAGTTTATGCTGCATGTCCGCCTTTTGTCCGTTGGCTGCTTTAACGCAACACTCAGGATGGAGAAGTGTGAATGGGCCCTAAAAGAAATATGTTATCCAATATCTGAGAAACAAATTAGATACAATATGGACTTCCTTCTGAAAATGTTAATGGCCTGGCTGTCATGAACCAAAACCAGCAGATCAGCATGACAGCCTCATAAGGAGGTCAGTAATGGTCACCAACATCTTCCATTTATGACAAGTTCCCTTTAACAAAATGTTAACCGTTGATTTGATGGCCAAGCTCAATAACCATCGTTTTGTCAGAAAGAGCAGTAACAATATATAAAAAGACACTCCGATTGCTCACCTCGTTCCTCCTCATCGGCACCGGCGAGCAGAGCGTAGAATATGTGATAGTTCCGCTCTCCGGGGCTTTGCCGCGTCACTCGGGTCTACAGGTTGAAAGAGGACAGAGATCCGCCATGGTTATATCTGCCCTGCTGGAAGGGGACCCCAGAGACCAGGGGAAGGACCCCAATAGGCACAAGAAACACAACACATACAGTATGTTGTATGGAGAAACCACCAAACTTACCTTTTCCAACAGATCTGGTTGGCCAACCGTTAAGGAAAGAAACAAAATTTAAACATGTCTCCCCTGGCAAATATTACCTCCTCCCTTTATTGCATCTGGTTGGATCAGATACATTAAAGCACCACTCCAGTTGGGTTAGTTATCACAGTAAATGTACATATCAGATTATGGGCACTTTCCAATTGTGAGCTCCAGTACTGTCCAGGCTAAAGGGTATTAATATTTTCCCAGACTGGCTGTTGGGCAGCTGGGTATTTGATAGCTCAGTGAGCATATTATACAGCAGCTAATCTGTATCCACACAATGTGGAAGAAGGAAACTGTTGCAGACGTGGATCTTCCCAACTACGGGGTCAACATGCAAGATAGAACTCCACCAAAAAACGAATTTTGTTTTGACCAGGATTTAATCGCATGTCTAGGACTTGATGCTATACGTGACCCCAGCCAAGATGTGACCGTTTTTTGACCTTTCTGGTGCCGCTTTGTGAAGTGTATTCACCATATTTTACTAAAGAGATCCCTCTAGGGCAAGGCTAGGCAAACTCCAGCCCTTTAGCGGTCCTGAAACTACACATGCCACAATGCATCTGCCACTGATAGTCACGTTTTGCAATGCCTCATATGATTTGTAGTTGCACCACAGCTGGAGGGCCAGAATTTGCCTACCTCTGCTCTAAGGCGATCAGCGACAACAGCCTAGGAATATATGTAAATGTACTTTAAGGAGAGCAACCAGGAAGAGTCAACTCCTAGCCAAGTGACAGATGTCAAATCAGGACCAAAAGTGGAGGGATATCTTCCCACCAGGGTAAAGGACAGCAGTAAATGCAGAGCTGGATTTACTCTCTTTGCTGCCCCAATGCCAGGTTCCCCAATGCCCCCCCCCATTCTTCTCATTTTCAGATAGGACTGTTAGAACAGATAAAAAGACATTGAGGGGTAATTGACCAAAACTGGAGCAAACAGAAGCTGGAGTTGTTGCCTCCCCCCCGTATGCAGGTTGCATAAAAGTGATCTCGGCAAACTCGCCGAGATCAATTGTACAAAACAAGCGGCGGCCTCCCCCGCTGTACATTTAGCCCTGCTTGCCCAAAGCAGAGCTAAATGTAGAAAACTACCTGCACAGCGCCCGGATCTGCATGTTTCGGGCATTGGGAGATAGGAATTCCACACCCCTGCTGCCCATCTATTCCTAGCTGCCCCGAGGCCGGGCCTCGGTTGGCCTTGTGGGAAATCTGGCCATGAGTAAATGGCATATCTAAAAACAAAAATGTAAAATTCTGCAGCTGACAGGTCCTTAGATGCAGCAGCCACATTAGTTTTCTTTTCCCAGAACAGGGACGGCTCCACCCACACAGCCGCGTCACTCATTCACAGATCCTTCGGCAAGATGATAGCCACTGGGCCAGAGGAACTCATGACGTCACCACACTTCTAGTTCATTTATTCTTCCTCCCTCACTCCCATTACTGCATGTTGGTACTGAGGTACAGACATGGGCAAGAAGAAGAGTCTGCAGGAGCCAGAGCATCGCACCCAGGATCTACTGATCCCGGTTGCAAGGCTTTATTGGCTTCAATGCAAAAAAAAAAAAAGTAAATGCATTCTTTTTTTCAATGAAGTACACATTTATTATCTTTTTGCAAAATGTGGTCTTTCCCTTTAAAACTATGCAACCAAAATCATAACGGAATGAATGATGAATAGCTAATCGGCATCTGCAGATTTACATCAATTTGCGCTCTGCATTTATTGTAAGGCAGAACACATTTTTAGGTTTATGTCCGTTTTTATTTACGGCATAGGGAATAATTCAAGAAAGAAATGAGCTCGATCTGCTTTTTTTTCCCGATCTTTTTGCAATCACAGGATTGCTACATTTGCATCTGCCAGCAACAGGAATCGGTAGAAAAGGCACATCTGATGACACGTTCAGCATCACTTTTGTTTAGATCTGTTTAGAAACTGAGAATTCCATTTTAAGCCTTCACTTTTGGACCAATAAATAATGTCACATCCTCTGCAAGAAAAAGAAAAGTTTTCAGGTTCCCAATAAAACCGGTGAGCAGATCTGAGCCTGCACCCAGCATGGCAGCCAATGCCACTCAGAAGGATACAGTCCACCACGCGACCACCCTGGATGTGTCCTTGCGGTGAGAAGTGAAGCTGGATGAACTTCCCGAAGCGGCTGGAGTTGTTATTATAAACTGTCTTGGCGTTTCCGAAAGCTTCCAGGATCGGGCTGTGGAGGGATAAAAATAAAAATGATGAAGCTGCAACATTAAAAACATGGAGTGAGTCTGCACAGTCCATATGTCTGTCAGTATTGAATTAACTCTGCCCAATGCTAAAGCTGGCCATACACTGGTAGCTTTGTCATATGAACATTCAAATGAAAAACCTCATCAGAACATTGGATGAGGTCATCAGGGACTTGAGGAATGTTGTTAAAAACTTAATTTAGATTTAACATTCAATTTTGGAATGAATGGAGTTTGCCAAAAAATAAAACCCACATACACTGCTCGAACCAGAGGCGTAACTAGAAACCCTCAGGGCCCCAGTCCAAGAAACCATGTGTGCCCGGTACCTTTGTATCTTTCCAGCACGTCCTCCTGCTTGTCAATGCAGTGCTGCTGCAACGAGGACAAGTTGGCCTTATTATAAGTGTAATAAGCTAAGGCCTGCTGCATGCTTGGAGGGGTCCCATGAGGCAATGTCGGCACCTCAGCGGTTACCAGCGTCAGACTCTTTTCTTCCTTTCCGGGCCCCTAACAAGCGGTGGAGCGCCAGGACCCGGTTGCACATGCAACTTCTGCGACCCTGGTGGTTCCACCAATGGCTAGAACTTCCGACGTTGAAGAAAGATTTTCCATCCTGCTCCTTCCATTTTCCTCGGCACTATGGTCAAAAACTATCGATCAAAAAACACCGATTTGACCTTATTAAAATCAAAACTACTGTTATATGGCCAGCTTAGCCATTTACCCCCTTAAAATAATAGTTTAATAAAACTGATGAAATAATTACATGTTTAAAGTAAATTTAATGAAAGCTCCACATTTAAAAAGTTATAGGGCTCTAAAGAACTCTGGGAATTAAAAAAAAAAACATACCATTGCAGTGGGGCTATTCCCACATTGCAAGGGTTAAGTGCTCATTTTGTGTATTGGGGGGCTGGAAAAAAAAAAAAGGGAGGAGATGTAGTCACTTGATCCTCAGTCCCATGGTGGTCAGCACTCCCCTCTGCTCCGGTTGTGGCATAACCCTCGGCATCCTCACGTCTAATGGACCTGCATTAGATGTGATGACATCATGGTCCTTAGATCGCTGGAGCTCAAAGGAAAAGAGGCTACAGGGACCAGTCTAGCAGCCACTGGTATCGAGGGTCGGGTGAATATATAATTGCTTTACAAAAAGCGAGCAGTTAACCCTTGCAGCGCGGGGGTAACCTAACTGCAATTGTATGTTTACTGTATCTAGATTGAGATTGGCTGGTATGGTTTTCGGCACTGTCCATATTGCATTTGACTGTACTAAAAGAGAACCTTTTAAGGAGCTTCCTGTCTGGACATAGAACCAGGTCATCACAAGCTTGTACAAACAGCACTCTATTCTGTACAATGTGGGAGCTGTGTAAATACTGAGTCATGTCCCATGCAGAGAATTTTTGTACGTTGTCACATGTCACCAACTAATATCCAGCGAGATAATGGAAAGCCTTGTATAGGGGATGGCATGCTGAATTCACCGCCAGGGAATTTTATGTAGGAATTCTAATAGGTCAAGAAAAAAAACTACAACAAAACCGCAAAGTAGACAAATGGTATACACACATAGGTCACGGTATACACAATCTTCGTATACACAATCTTCTAGATTTATTTGACATAAGCACATGCCCCTTCATATAGAAGGAGACTAAATCATCTGCTTCCTGTCGGCTCCTCGCTATTGTATACATTGAGACATGCAAACCACAAAGTTCATTTGTTTCTTCATTTGTGTTCTGCACAGTAATGGTCTGCATTGCCCCAGGAGATTCAGGCCTGCTTTGGAACTAAAAGCCTGAATGCGATTGGCTGCTTTGGGTCAATGCAGATCATTCTTTTTGTACCCAAGGCAATACCAAGGTCTTTATTTGATAAGTCCCAGTTGATCAGTTACAGGTTTTTATTATTCTGAAGGGTCCAAATCAGGGGTGACCAGTCCTTGAGGGCCACATTTTTGGGCGTGCAGCGTATTTTGTGTGTTGTCATCCATGCCTCTTGCATAGTTTATCGCGCCCAAGCATCATGGGAGGATCAAAGCAGGTGATGTCACATCCAATGTACGTGTAATCTCCCATGATACCATGGGCAATTGCAAATCTGACTGACAGTGGGCATGCAGGTAGTGCTCAGGGCTGATCCTAGATTGAGGGCTGTGGACGGGTCACGTCTGGGCGCTGTGTGCAGATTGCACTCGAAAACCTGCATCCAAAAGAACCCTAAACCCACAGCAAAAAAAAAAAAGCCCTTGCATGATCTAATTTGCTCCAACAGGAAAAAAAAAATATTTCCCAAACCCCTACTGCAATTGGATATTCCTCAACAACCGAGATAATATTATTATAGGTGGTGGTAGCATACGAATGCGCACTTGAGGTCCACCTTGAGAGAATAACAATGTTACACCACAAACAAACCAACCCGTTGACCAATGTAACAAGAACAACTGGCTGTAGATGTTGCAAGATATTGAAACTCAAATCATAGTCTCTTCCTCTGATCATAGTTGGCCAGATCGAGTGCCAATCATTCAACCTCATCAATTCAAAGCCAAAGAATCATATAAAAAAAATGCAGATCTTTCAGTTTTTAAGGCATTTGATTGTAAAATTGATGACAGGGCTGTATGAGGCAAAGAAATGTGACCATCACGCCTGACAATCTTTCTTTGATGCTTTTAGAACACCAGCAGAAGTCAGGAGCGAGTTACAAGACAGAAATTATAAAAAGAAGAAGCTGCTGCTGGGTATATCTGACCTGCTTTCCATGATGGCCTTTTCCACGGTTGTCTGGTTCCCACCTCCCGCGCAATTCTGGCTCATCGAGGACAGGAATTTCATCAGCAGTTTCGTGCTCTCCGTTTTGCCGGCCCCACTCTCTCCACTGCAACAAGGCAAAAATCAAGATTTCACCGACCGGAGCTACAGCACGAGTTGGAGCTTCAAGTTCAGTCCACCACAAGCCACCTACCACCACCAATTAATTTGATGGTGAAGTTAATTTTGGGCAAAGAAATGCCCAGATATAAGCTGTTGAAGCTGCCAGCGTGACCGCTTCAACATTGACAGCTTCAATAATAATTTTTTAATGTTCAAATTGAAATGTCTGTGAAGGTTCTCATTCATCCAGGTCATGATATATATTTAACAAAGAAGTCAAAGCAACTGGACTTGCTGTATTTTTCTTGAAGACGTTTCACTGGACATCCGACCAGCTTTCTCCATTCAGAATGAGCTTTCTCATTTCTGAATGGAGAAACCTGGTTGGATGACCAGTGAAATGTCTTCAAGAAAAATACAGCAAGTCCAGTTGCCTTGACTCAAATTGAAATGAAAAACTGAAAAAAAACACACAAACTACAGCAATTTTATTAAACACAATTGGATTTTTCCAATCTATTCTATTGGGCTCATTTTAGTCTCATGGCCATGCCTATGGCTAGCCCAAGTAACATGGGCGTGAAAAGGATTAGTTGGCCCATTTATAATGTTTGTTACCTTGAGTAAAAACGATCTGGTATCCCTTCACCTTATCATTGCTAACTCATAAAATAAACAGATGAAACAATGAGAGGCGAGAACATTTGCACGTACCTGATGAGCACGCACTGACTGTCATGTCTCTTCCACAGGCAGCGATAACATTCGTTGGCGATTGCAAAGATATGGGGCGGCAGCTCCCCAAAGTGGTGCCGACGGTACAACTCGACAGTGCTTTCGTCGTACAACCCCGGAATCTGCTTGTAGGGGTTCACCGAGGCCAGAATGGAGCCGATATTGGTCTACAAGAGAATAAAAATGTAAGCCGGAGGCACAGAGCGGGAATAAGAGGAGAGATGTTGAGTAAACTGATTTTACCTTAAGGAGGGGGAAAAAAAGGATTACATTTCTCCTTTTTTGTGAGAGAGAGTTTGTTTGTAGTTAGGTTTATTTGATTTTTAAAGCTCCTATGTGCAACCAAAGTGCCCTTCAATTTTCACCTCAAAATATATACAATAAATACATTAAAAAAAGATAAAATGATAAATTAGTAATCAAACATATCAACTGTACAAAAATAATATAATGCGCTAAATTATTTATGTCAATTTATGTTTCTACTGCGCCAAAAGGTATAAATAACCCCAGTGTTTCGAGGCTCCAAGTGTCTCTTCCTTATATTTAATAAATTTAAATATTTTAAAAGTTATATTTTTTATAATATATTTTATATTATATCAAAGTGTATTAATTCAGTCCCTTTTTTTATTTAGGTCACTCTTGGACTGATGTACAAACTGATCACTATGAGAAGGAGACACTTGAAGCTTCAGGAAACACTAGATTTATACCTGTTGGCACAGTGATTGATATAATCCATTTTGTTATTTTTGTACAGTTGAAAAGTTTGATTATCGATTTATATTTATATTAATCCTCATTGAACACTTTTTCATTATATACTTTTATATATTTATTTTGTTGTGACAATTGAAGGGCACTTTGGTAGCACATAGGAGCTTTTTAGAGCGCTGAACTTAAGATAATTTAATTCAAAGTGTATGAATTGATCCATATTTGTATTAATTTGCATTGAATATACATACACACATCCATCCATCCATCCATCCATCCATCCATCCATCCATCCATCCATCCATCCATACATACATACATACATACATACATATATATATGTATCTATATCTATATCTATATCTATATATCTATATATCTACATACATACTTTTTTTTTTTTTTACATGTTTATCCATCATTCTGAAATGTGACTCTCTGACCCGGTTTTGCGGCGTGGTTCATTTATAAGTGTTGGTACAAGGTGAAATGGGAGTGGTGGCTCAGCGGCCAATCAGGTTCAAGCTTTGATGTTTCTGGATTAGTTATATATTAAAACATAACTCCACCTCATGCAGGCCAAAGCAATACAATTACACATCCAGAAGGTCACTAGAGGAGAGGAAACAATTTCTTTAAACCTATAAAATGTTACCTTGAAACATCAATCCTGCCAGCTGGCAGATCGCGGCCTTGGAGGAAACTATTATTTATTAATGGAGGACGGCAGCTGATGACTTACGTAGATTTTGTCTTGCTGATAACGGAGATGCAGATTTAACATGATGGCGGCTTCATGCAGGTCAGACAACAAGGACATGTCTTCCACCCCTTCCTGGTTACTTTGCTGCATCGGGAGGACATGGTTGCGGGAGAGTGAATTGCGGGGGTACACAAACTCCTGGGGTAGAAGAAAAATAAAAATCATGTCAGTTATTTCCTTGCACTCACATCCATATTATGGGGGCTAAGTGATTAGCACTTTTGCTTTGCAGCACTGGGGTCTGGGGCTCACATTCCCTGAAATGCAATACATATAAAGACTGTATAGTATGCTGTTTATATGCTGTCCTTGTCACGTGTGGTTGTCCTCCATGTACTCCGTTTTCACCCACAGCCATGTTGCTGGTCAGACTGGTGTTTTTGGATCACATTGGGCCCCTCACTCCTCCTTTGTGGCCTTCAGCTGGTTTACTTATTTTAAGCAATGCAAGGGTTCAGCGGCATCACAAGGGGGGTGCGGCCCGCACCCGGGTGACACCATTGGAGGGGTGACACCAAAATGACTGTCATTTGCATACCTTATTCCGCCGGTGACTGTCCCCTCCTCTCTCTGCCAGCGTCCATCACTAAGATGGCTGCCGGCAGGTATTAATAAGATTGCTGTGCATGCGCGACCACATCCGCCCGTGGTGACGTCACGCGCATGAGCGCTAACGTTACAGTGGGGTGTCACCCGGCAAACGCTCTGGGTGACAACCGGCCTCGGGACGCCCCTGCAAGGGTTAAGTGCTCGCTTTGTATAAGGAGCTAAAATAACAAAGTTGTAGTCACCCAAACCACGATCCCGGCTTCCCCTTAGACTGTTACCTTCAGCTTTGCTCCCCCCTCTGCTCCAGTGGTCTAAGGTCCAGTGAAAGTCTAGCCCCAAGATTTGTGCACTGAACTGAAATCACTCTTTCCTGATCCCATCTTTAAAATGGACTACACATGGACATATTACAGAAAGAGTGTTATAACTGTTTGATAAGTGCAAGAAAATACCTGTTGATCTGCTGAAAGTCCAGAGAGCTGATCACTTCCTGTGCTCTCTGCCTGTGCTGCATTCTTATCTGATACATTGTCTCCAGCTATCTCTGCGAAGTACACAACACTCCCTACATCATGGAGAAGAGAAGAGGGGCATTCTGTATTCTTAATACACTTCATGTCCCAGGGTGGCAGCACTGCTTCTCTATAGATACAGTTCAGTGAGGGAGGGGTGTTGTTACCCTAGGACAGGAAGGGTATTACCAGCAGGATCACTGGGTGTGTGTATAAAGAGGAAAAAAGCCTGGAAAAAAGAAAAGGAATGCAGCCGCTACATCTAAGAATTGGTGAGCTGCAATATATGACATTTTTGTTCTTGGGTATACATACACTTTAAATACATTCTACAGCTGTAGAGTGATTGAAGCTTCGGGTGCTCTCAGAATACACAACTATACGCCACCTAGTGGTCAGTGAGCAAATGGCAAGCGTGTAAACAGAGACTGACTGGAGCATTGATCAGCATTCCTGGCACATCCCTTTACTGGAAACCAGTTGCTAAAGCCACTTCTCAGCAGCTATAAAGATGTAACGATGGCCGCAAACGCTCACCCACAAGACTAATTCATAAAAGCGGAGCCTTCAGTGTACGCACGCCTGTTATTTTTACAACATCCCGGTAAACCTGTACACTTCTCTACTGCCGGATCAAAGCCCTGAACACAATAACCTCACCCCAGCTAAAGCAGTCAAACATTCCATTGCCACAGATGCAATGTACTGGCATGAGGCTTTCCTCTATACCCAGCAATTCTGCTTGTTTAAAGGCTAAGTTTACCCTTTGGACCATGTTTCATGTTCAATCCATAATAAGGGTGTAACATTAACTAGGGTCACATCGACAACCCCCACAAATCTACTGGGGCAGAGGGACTCATAGTTCTCATTGTTGCCCATCCATGTTACTGAATGTCTGTACCTCGGTACAAATATGGACAAGGAGGGAGAATCTCCAGGAGCCATTGCACCTGTGATCCATTAATCGTGGTTGCGATGCTTTACTGGCTCCTGTGTGGGGGGGAAAAAAAAGTGCATTTATTACAAACACAAGAAGTGTGCAGTTTTTTTACCAATACAGTGGACTAGACCTTTAAAAAGGCCAGAATTATCGTAGAGTCCACTGCACTTCTGGACCGCTCAGATACAAGTGCTGCAAGTCTCAGACTACAGGGCTATGGTCGTGTCTCTGCAACCTCTCCTCCAGGCCATTAACAAAACACATTCCCCGGCTTCATTTTGTGAATGGGCTGGAGGAGAAGGCAGGGACATGACTGCAGCATTCGTCACAAAGCACACAGTCCCAGACTTAATTTGGTGAATGGGCTGGACGAGAGGGAGGCGGAGACATAACTGTTGTAGTAGGGTCTATGAGGCCTGCAGCTTTTATATGCAAGCGGAAGTACAGCAGGACCTTTACTCACCATGTGCACAAAAGGATTGGCCAGGTTTAGTAGAAAGCCTTTGTTAAAAGTCAATTCCGTGTGATTCCCTCTGTGAAGCCGCCACACCCTAAACCCGCTTACACCTACATGACGGGGGAATTATGTTTTGACAATGAAATGTCTGACTGCTTAAACCGGGATTGTGCCCGGAGCTGGGCTATAAAAGGCCCTTTGGGTACCATGCAGCCTTGTGGTGGAGCTACAGAGTCCCATCAATCACAACAGCTCATTATTTCCCAACAGCTGAAAAATAACAATGGGCGTAATCACCAAAATTCCCGACCAGCTGAGAGAGAATTTTTATTATCCGCACAAACACAATTCTAAGCAGCTCGGTGGGGTTTTATTTTCCTACGATTGGTCTATAGCTCACGCCAACATCATTTGCAAATCCTATTCTAGTGCATCAGATCCGGGAAAAGCATCGCAATTCTACCGTAGATGTGTACGAATGTCGTATTTTATAATATAAATAGGGCTGTCGAAATTAAAGATTATTACTTCATTGCTGCGCTGTATGTGTATAGGCCAATGTAGTTGGATCTGTATGTGCGTTATAATAAAATCGAAATTAATCGATTACAATTTTTTTCATCATAGCAAGTCACAGGCCCCCGGAATGGTTGATAATGTGCCCGAAATGCCAGGTCCCCCTACCCGACTTGACACACCTCATATGGTTGTGCCCTTATGTACAATCCTTGTGGGAGGAGGTTATCTCCTATACGAATGTACATTCTGGGCATAACAGAACTCCTTCACCTGATATTTGTCTCTTTCATTGTCCAGCCCCAGAGCAACCCGACCCATCGTCAGCACTGACAAGATGGGAACACATCTGCATCATAAGCACCAAAAAAGCCATCTTGATAGATTGGTTGACCTCCACCCCAACATCACTACTTAGGTTTAAGTCGGTGCTACATCGGCTCATGTTGCTCGACAAATTACATACGAAATTCAATTTGCAACGCACCAAAAAATTCTTCGATACCTGGTCTGCCTATTTGATCTCTGAATTATCTACAGAGCAATTGCGTGACGTAATGATTATTTTCCAATATTCCACGTGGTTCCTCACTGCCAAACTCTCTAACACACTTGGCGATCTAGATGTACTTTAGAAGCCTCTTATTCATTCATACACATTTAACCCCAGGATTATACTTCCCCAATTATGCATCTTTATCTATTTCTCTTTCTTCTCGTTCAGCACCTTAAGATTGCAGCTCTGAATCGCTCTACTAATACCCAACAACTACTCCTTTTTCATATATTACATGGATCATATGTTGTTAAGGCTATTCAAATTGACATTAACAAATGTCATCCCAGTTATTTTGGAGTTTTTAAGTTTTTACTTTCTGTGTACTTCATTATATGATGGTATCTCTTATGTTTGCATGAATGTGCACTGTTGAAATTTAACTGTGGATGTTTCCACAACTCATTTTGTCATACAAAAGTCTGTACATTATGCACCGTTGAAACCTGATAATTGTACTGTACTTACTTTGCAATAAAAAATTAACATGCAAAAAAAAAAAAAACGAACTTAAATCGAACACGAAAATTTTAAAGCAGTACTAGCCCTAAATATAAACGATTAGTTTAATTTCCTTATTCATGGTTCCTATGTATAGGCAGCACAAATACAGCTACAGGGGGCAGTTTTTTTTTATCACGACATAAGCCATGGTGTAAAAACTGTCCATCGATTTAGAGGGATTGTTCCATTTTTGGAATTAAATCACTTTGTCTCTCATTGCTCCTCGAATGTCCCTCTTTTTGTTCCGACAGAAAAATTTATAAATAAAATGTATCATTTCACTTGCAAAGCTGTTTATATAGCACAAAATTTCCTAATTCCCTTTAGATTGTTGCATTGGTAATTTTTAAGGTTACTAGAACTAAAATTAAATAGAAAGAAGAGAAAATAAAAGGAAAAAGCCCCAATGGGTTTAAGGGATTGTGCTTTCGTTCACCATGATCTATGTGATTGGGGGTACAGTGGTGGTATTGGGGGTACAGTGGTGGTATTGGGGTGTCCATTTATCTAAATATTCACTCTATAAGGTGCCCTCCTTTTCCATCTTAAAGTGACACTAAACTTAGAAGTTACATCTTAAAAATACATTCAGGTACCTTAACTATTACACAAATAGGATAAATTTTTGTGTATCACTCGACTGTATATCCTCAAATCATCTCTGAATTGGTGCTGACCCTGTCCTTCCTTCTGGAGGGGGGCTACTTTTGTTCCCCATGTTCCCTGTGTGTGTTGTAAAGTAGTCACCGCTCCAAGCTCACTCACGGGATGGACTACAATCTCATGTTTAGTTTACTAATTTGTATTGAGATTCTAGTCCATCCCGGGAGCGAGCTTGGAGCGGGGACTACTTTACAACACACACAGGGAACATGGGGAACAAAAGTACCCCCCCTCCAGAAGGAAGGACAGTGTCTGCACCAATTCAGAGATGATTGGAGGATCTACAGCCAAGTGATACACAAATAAGATACAATGAGGGGAATTTATCAAAACTGGAGCAGAGAGAATCTGGAGTAGTTGCCCGGGGCAACCAATACGCTTTTCTCTTCAGTGTGTTCAGTTAAGATTTGAAAATGAAAGAGAGAAGCTGATTGGTTG